AGTTGAGCAAAAGAAGCAGAAACCAAAAGAGGACACCTGAAAAAAAAAAAAAAAAGAGGACACCTGCCTGATTCCATTGTCATAAAGTAGGAACACAGGCAGAATGCATCCATGCTGTTAGAAGTCCAGGTGACAATGGATGGCAGCGACTGCGTGAAAACACAAGGGGTGGCACCTGGGGTGCCGGGTACCATATGTAGTGTGTTCAATTTGTTAAACTTAATCAAGCTGTATGGCTACCATACATGGACTTTTCTATATGTAAATTATACTTCAATAAAAAGCTTTTATTTTAAGTGTACAGGGTCCTAAAAATGGAAAGTGCCCTTTTTTTGTGTTTTGTTTTGTTTTGTTTTGTTTTGTTTTTAAAGGTGAGGAGCTAAGAACAGAGACCAGATGCCTCAATTCCTAGACGGCATACAAATAGGGCCAAGAGAGAAAAGTCCGTTTTGGGGCATTAGAGAAGAATCTGTAGCTCCAACTTGCCTCAATGGCTGATCCCTTCTCAAACAGCTGCCTCCCAAGATTCGAGGCCTGGGAAGGTGGCAAGAGTCTGGAAGACAGAGGCTAAGATCCCACACTGAGTGTTGGCCCAGCCTTCCCCAGACACTGCCTTCCAAGGCAGAACCCCCATTTCCATTAGGGGCATGTTTATGTCACCCAGCAACCCTGGAGCGTCACTCCTTCCCCACTCCCAGATCACTTGCTTCTGCTGAAACTGACCAGGGTTGCGCTAAGCCTGCCAGAGCCAATCCAGAAATATCTGATGGAAATACTGGTGGGCTGAGAGGGAAGGATAAAAGCCAGGAGCTGCTGGCTCCTCATCTTTGCCACCACAAGGGGAGAAGCTTGCCCAAGAATGAAACAGGAAGAGGAAGCAAAAGAGGGAACCAGAAAGGAAAAACAAGAGATCTCTTGGAACAGCCTCTGGAGATCTTCTTGGAACACCTAGATCTAGATGTATCTAAAGGCCACACCCCAAACTTATTACGTAAGCCAGTGAATTGTTTTGCTTAGGCCAGCTTGAGTTAATTTGCCGTTTATGTCACTACGAAGTATGTGCCCTTTTGCGCTCTCAAGAAGCCTGTGTGTGCTCTCAGAGACTAAAATGGTCATAATAATGCTCCACGCTAACTGTACCCCTCCCAATGTAAGAACACCCTATACCTTCACAAACCACTTCAATACCCATCAATCCATTTGATTATCACAGAAATGCCAAGAGAGATGGGGTACAAATATTACCCTTCCCTCTTTCTTTGCCATCCCAGACTTGAGAGCTGGCAAGGATGTCAGGACCATCTAACTGAGTCCTCTTGCTTCAACAACCAGAAGAATGGAGCACAGAGAAAGAAAGAGTAGCCTGCATATGACTAGAGCATAATAAAACTGCAAAGGGTTTTTAAGTTCCTCAAAAGGACCAAGAGCAACACTGTGAAGACTCTGATATTGCCTAAACCTCAGACATGAGAATCTGGCTTTCAACCTTACTCATAAAGAAAATCTCAACAGATCCATATCCTGCCATCATAATAAATAATACTGAGGACTATTCACCAAGCACCCGTCAGCCAACATAATGCTAAGGCTTCATTCATTCTCTTAGAGAATCCTTATAGAGGAAGGAACGTGTGGTTGGCTCAATGGTTGAGCGTCTGCCTTCAGCTCAGGTCATGATACTGGGGTCCTGGGATCGAGTCCTGCATCAGGCTCCCTGCATGGAGCCTGCTTCTCCCTCTGCCTATGACTCTGCCTCTCTCTGTGTGTCTCTCGTGAGTAAATAAATAAAATCTTAAAAAAAAAAAAAAGAAAATGGGGGATCCCTGGGTGGCTCAGCGGTTCGGTGCCTGGCTTTGGCCCAGGGCGCGATCCTGGAGTCCCGGGATCGAGTCCCACATCAGGCTCCCGGCATGGAGCCTGCTTCTCCCTCTGCCTGGATCTCTACATCTCTCTCTCTATATCTGTGTCTATCATAAATAAATAAATCTTAAAAAAAAAAAAAAAGAAAAGAAAGAAAGAAAATGTATCTCCTCAGCCAAGTCCTCTCCAATTAACTGAGATTCTTCTACCAATCAACCCCCCTTCTGAGTATCTGTTTAAACACTTTGGACTTAATCATTCTGGCTGGAATATCTGACAGAACTACTGGTCAGCTGTCTTCATCCACACAGCCACCAACATCAGCTTTTATGAAACTCAAATCATATCACACCACTCATGCCCCCTGGGATGGTGATCATCAAAAAGACAGGCAATAACAAGCTTGGAGAGGATGTAAAGAAATTGGAGCACTCGTATGTTGCTAATGCGAATACAAAATGGCCAGCTGCTTTGAAAAAGTCTGGCAGTTCCTCAAGTTAAACATAGTTACCATATGACCCAGTTACCTAGGTATAGACCAAGAGAAATGAAAAGGTATGTTCACCCAAAAACTTGTCCATGAACATTATTTTTTTTTAAGATTTTATTTATTTATTAGAGACAGAGAGAGAGAGAGGCAGAGACACAGGCAGAGGGAGAAGCAGGCTCCACTGCAGGGAGCCCGACGTGGGACTCGATCCCAGGACCCCAGGATCACGCCCCGGGCGGAAGGAGGCGCCAAACTGCTGAGCCACCAGGGCTGCCCCACGAACATTATTTATAACAGACAAGAAATAGAAATAACCAAAAACATCCATCAACTGATAAGTAGATCAACAAGATGTGGTCTATGCACATGTGTCCAATGGAATCTCATTCACCCATAAAAGAGAATGAAGCATGGATGAACCTCAAAAACATGATGCTGAATAAAAGAAGCCAGTCACAAAAGCCACTTAGTCTATGATTCCACTTACATGAAACATCCAGAATAGACAAACCCACAGAGGCAAAAAACACATGGTTGTCACTGGTTGTTGGGGGTCAGAAGCTGAGAGGAACTGGAAGGTACAGGGTTGACTTTATAGGTGATCTATGTTATGAAATAACTGCACAACACTGTGGATGTACCAAAAGTGCTGAACTGTACATTCTGAAATAGTTAGTGAATTTTACAGTGTATGAATTTTACATTATTTTAAAAATGTTTTTAACCCTCTCCCAAAAAAAATGATCAGATAGGGGCGCCTAGATGGTTCAGTTGGTTAAGCATCCAGCTTCGGCTCAGGTCATGATTACAGGGTCCTGGGATCGAGCCTCGTGTTTGGCCCCTTGCTCAACAAGGAGTCTGCTTCTTCCTCTGCCACTCTCCCTGCTTCTGCTCTCTCTTTCTCTCTCTCTCTCAAATAAATAAATATTTTTTTAATTATTTTAAAATTAAAATAAATTAAAAAAAGAAAATGACCACGGACGCCTAGGTGGCTAAGTGGTTGAGTGTCTGCCTTTTGGCTCAGGTCATGATCCCAGGGTTCTAGGATTGAGTCTTGAATCAGGCTCCCTAAAGGGAGCCTGCTTCTCCCTCTGCCTATGTCTCTGCCTCTCTCTGCATGTCTCTCATGAATAAATAAAATTAAAATCTTAAAAAAAAAAAAAAAAGAAGAAGAAGAAGAAAGAAAGAAAGAGATCAGATAGCACAGCTACCACCGTTGCCCTACTTTAAAACTATCCAGTGGCTTCCCATCACACCAGCAGTCAAACCCAAATTCCCTGCCAGGGCCTATAAGGCCCAACATGGCCCCAGCCCTGTGACCTCTCCCTTCTACTTTCCCCCTTACTCACTCTACTCCTCTCCTAGCCTGTCCCTCAATCTGGCAAGTGCTTTCCCACAGCTGGCTTCTCATCAGTCAGGCCTCTGTTCAAATGTACACAACACCCCAGGCCCTCTCTGACCACCCAATCTAAAATACAGCTTCCTGGGTGCCTCAATCAGTATGCTGTTAAGCATTGACTCTTGATTTTGGCTCACATCATGATCTCAGGGTAATGAGATCTAGCCCAGCATAAGGCTCCACACTGGGCATGGAACCTGCTTAAGATTATCTGGGGGATCCCTGGGTGGCTCAGTGGTTTAGCGCCTACCTTTGGCTCAGGGCATGATCCTGGAGTCCCAGGATCGAGTCCACATCGGGCTCCCTGCATGGAGCCTGCTTCTCCCTCTGCCTGTGTCTCTGCCTCTCTCTCCCTGTCTGTGTCTCTTATGAATAAATAAAATCTATTTTTTTTAAAATTCTCTCTCTCCTTCTCCCACCATTGGGTGTGTGTGTGTACACATACTCTCTCTCTAAAAAAAGTAAATAAATAAAAACTAAAAAATAAAATAAAATACAGCTCCCATCACATTCTATCCCAATACCCTGCTTTATTTCTTCATAGGCTTTATCACCTTCCAAAATGATACAGATTTTTAAAACCTGTTTACTTATTTGTTGCTTGTCACTCCAGCCAAGAGGAAAGGGATCTTGTCTGTCATGTTCATACCTCTGATCTTGCTACCATGTAGGAGCTAATTGATAAACACTTAGGAAAAGAATGGATTTATTAAAGGATTTCCATAATATCTGAAATGCCACTGGCTACCTGGTCTGGTGTCCAGAAGCACTAAGTGATCAGCTACACTCTGCAGGTGCTCAGGGAGTTAACAAGCATTTGCTGGGTACTGGGTGTTAAACCCCACCCTAGACCTGTCTGGAACCCTGAGGAAGCAGGAAGAATGATCCCTCCCCTCTGAAAGTCTGAAAGTCTTTCAGGGGTCACAAAGCACCCAGTGTTTACTCAGCAACCCACAAACAAACGCAAAGGAAAGATCTAAGATTGTATTGCTGATGGAGGCTAGGGTCCAAATCGGCCTCATAAAACTGTGTGCTGGCAAACACTCTTTCATACAGCTTCTTATGACTTTGCAATCTGACCTGTTCTCCAGAACCAGACGGTTGCAGCTCACACCTGCTCCTGCCTCCTCCCACAGGGACTTTCTTTTCAGGGGCAGTTAAAGGTCTAAATAGGTGGGTGGTAAAGAGCTCCTGCCCCTTGTACTCCCTACTTTGGGCATCTCTGAGCTGCACACACAGCAGGCAACTTACCCACTAGGAGTTTGACATCTCGGACTGTGAAATCTGGGTCGGGCATCCTGGAAAAAGAGAAGTACAGTCATTTGCCGGGTAGCCAAGAACAAGAGTTAGACCCAACTCTGGGGGCAGGGGAAGGCCATGTTTCCAAGAGCATTCCCTTGTCTCAGTTTGGGAACCCAAAATGAGATCATCTAGAGAGAAAGTGATAGACCAATCAGTGCCCCCCAGAAAGGGTCAATCTCCAACCACTGAGCCCTTTCCTCACCCCGGTAGGCAAACCAACCCCCTCACTCTCCCCAATATGAGCTCAGCACTGCCACAGAAAAGACAGGAAATCCAGTATCCATGCCACTTTTGAGAGGAAGACTGAATCATCATGTGTCCAGGGTAAGTCCTGAGCTGGGCACTCAAACACCTGCTTTCTTTTAGGGTGGGCAGCTCTCTCTGTCTCTTCCACTAGCAAACACTCTCCATAAAAGGAGTTGTATGGAGGGTTGCAGGGATCTCTTTAAGTTGAAAGGGGGAAAAAAAAAGACACACATCATTCCAATTCCAGGGATTCCGTAACACCGGTCATAATGACTATGGTGACCTTCACTATTAATTAACAGTGATGTCAAAGGTTTGATTTCTACCCTTGGAACGAGACTCTTGAGCAAGCCTGGCAGTAGCTAGATGTTGGAGAAAGAGGCAAGCTGGGATGACACCAGCAGCCTCCTTTCCACCTCCGCCCTGGGCGGAAACCTGTTCTTCCAGCCTTCCTCCTGGATCTCTCCCCAACCCCACCTGGAGCTCTGACAGATCTCTAAGAGAATGTAAACCAAACAAGACACAGTGGAGGCAGGTGCTGGGGCAGGCAGAAAAAGAGAAGACTTGGAGCCTAGCATCCTAGAGAACATGCCCTGCACAGAAGAGCACCACTTTCCCACATAATGGGAGTCTGAGAAGAAAAATATGTATCTAGGTGCCCTTTCTTCTGGGCTTAGAGACTGGCCAATCCCTTCACAGCTCAGGCGCTGCCTCAGTTTCCTAACTTGGGAGAGAGGCACAATTCTCTTTAGGAAGTCACCACACATAACTGGGCTAGGTCAGGGAAAGACGTCAACACGCGGTTTATGTACCCTCTGTCCTCTCTGCCCAAATTCTCTGGAAGAGACCAATCTTTGGAGGGTTTTTCCCCTTTGCCAGGCCTTGAACAAAGAGATACTATCCCCAGATAATGAAGAAAGAGCCTTCTCTGTGATGAGAGGTGGGGAAAAGGATAGAAGAAATCTATCCTGAACTATAAACTACATCAAGGAGAAAGATGTGGGAAGAAACAATTCATTTCAGCAACTTACTTAATCCCCAGGCCATCCTTTTCTCGAAATATCAGGGGAACCCTGAGCGCTTCTCTCTGCACATACTCGTAGTTGAAATCTGTTTGGATATCGGAATTAAAACAGGTTAGTTAAGTCACAGAAGAGAGATGAACCACGATCAGCAGGCCGGAGGAAGGAACATGGTGATACTAGATGCGAGCACCAGTCTAGGGCACCAGCTCTCCTGTAAAATGACAGGAAAATGGAGCAGGCAAAGCCCAAGAGAAGCCATGCCAACTATCCGCTCCTCTGCCTACTCCGTCATTCCCTGCATGCCCCACGGGTCAGAACTTGTCAATGAGCAGCCCAAGGCCAGGGAGGTTGAGGAGGGAGACTCATGAAAGAGCCCCTCACAGAAAAAGCCCCAGCAATCACTGAGAAAGAGGGAAAGAGAAATGCACCCCAAGCTGAGTTCAGAAAGTAAAGGCAGAGCAAAATTGAAGAATACCACCTGGGAGGATCTGAAGCCCCAGAGAGGAGGTTGGGAGGAGGGTTCTCATTGTAGCTGAGCATCAGGGAAGATCTTATTGTAATATCCTGCATAGTGAAGGGGAGGGGGGGAAAGCTGGTTTCCCTGGAAACTGTGTATTTGGTGCCAAAATAACTAGAGAACTGGGCACAGCTTTGTTGTCTTAATAGTGTAATTCTGCTCCGGTTACTGCCATCCTTGCTTCCCCTGGGTAACTGACCAGGGCGCTCCCCTCAGGTGAAGGTAGCGTGAAGGGGGCACAGCGAGGCCCAAAGCAAATCCACCAGGCAGCTCTCTGTCTCGGGTTTGTCTAGCGTAGACCCCCAAATCCCTTATTGAAAGCCCTGGAGAATGAAGGAGGCCTTCATTTCTATGTTCCTTGAGTTCCAAAACCAGGGGATCTGACCCAACCTCATTCCTAAATATGGAGTTGAGGAAAGCAGAGATAAACCATCACAGCCTCAAATCCTCAGGTGAACTCAAGCAATCCACAAGGCCACAAGCCCTCCCTGGTCAGCCAGAGGAGAAACGGGAGAGATCACAGGCCCCTGAAGCCCCTGCCCCATGGAAACAGTTCACCAGGGCAGCTTGGTGGGGGAGGAGGCCAAGGCAACTCAGCTCAGAGCAGAGGAAGAGAACAAAACCGGAGCTGGGGAAAGCCCTGACCTTAGCAGCTCAGATCCCCAGGGGCTCACAGTGAATGGGGATTCCTAAGGATTTAAAGGCAGAGTTTAAGAAGCTTCTATTTTGAATCCAGGCTAAGGGATCCTTCTGTTTCTCAGCTCCTCCCTTGAAGTTTTGGGGCCGGATCTGAATTAACTACCAAAACGCTAGGGCTCTCTCCTTTGAAAAGAGCCCAGACAGCAGATTTAAGGTCTCTCCCTAGCTGGAATTCACCCCCTACACACCCACACCCAAAGCAGACCACCCCACTCCCCCCAACTCTCCTCAGCTTCAACTTCCACAAATGAGCTTGAGAAAACACTCAGATCTTGGGCTGAGAATTCCTCACAAATGACTAGGAAGTGTCTGCATGTAGTTTTCTCATAGGATCCACCAAACTCAGTAAAATGGGAAAGAAATGAAAGGAATTAAAAGCCCACTTGTGCTAAGGAAATTTAAATGTATTTGAGACTAGCCCCCCTCTCCCTAGACTGTCTGCCTGAATATTCGATGTTCTTAAGACCGGGCTGGCTGGAAGAAATTTCTTCTTCCCTCCCCCAACCACTACCTCCTACCACTGAAGCCCAGCACCCCAGGAAGCAGTTGGGGACAAAAGACAAACTTCAAAAATGCAAAGCCAGGACTGTCTCTTCGGGGGGCTAACCCAGTCCCAGCCACTCAAGCAGAACCTGGAGGGGAAGGCACTTCCTCTGTTAGCAGCTCACTGAGGGATGGAAGGGATTTCCAAGGGGGATGGAGGGAGGAGGTGTCAACAAAATGGAAATGGTGTATCATAAAGGAAACTTGAATATCTGAGAGGAAAAAAAAAGAACTTAGAAACCCCAGAGAGCTTAGGGAAATACCTAGGTAGGCAGGGGCATCTCCAAAACTCCAACCCCACAGGCAGAACCACAGGTCACTCAGGGCCTCTGGAGGCCTCAGACCCAAGCCAGAACATCACCCCAATGTTGGCAGGATACCACCAGACAGCATTCTAATACTAGGGTCAAGGAGAAACTCAGGCCCTGAAGGTATCAGGCTGGGGTGGCACCCCAAAACCCCAGAGGTTTCCTCAACTTCTCCTCTTAAACTGGCAGGGCCTACAAGGGACAGAGCCCTCAAGGTCTCACGCTGAGAAGAGGTACTGTTCCCCAAAGGGGTACCCCAAGTTTTCGCTTCAAACTACAGGGGTCAGGAATCTCAGCCTGAAGGCTGAGGGGGTAAAACTCTCTTTTGAGTCCTTACTTCAAATTGTCAAGGCTGAAGGGCCAGAGGCCTCAGGTATACATGCCGGTTCCAGCCCTTGCTCCAATCTGGCAGAGACCAGAAGGTTATGGGGTTCCATAGACCCGAGGGGCTGACAGGGCATCATTCAGTGACCCGAGCATCCTCAGCACCAGCTCCTAACTGGCAAGGCCGGAAGCGGGACGGGGTTTTGGGAGGCTTCAGGCCTGGGGGGGGGACCTCATCCCAATGACCCAGGGGCACCCCAGCCCCTCTCCCGGCCAAGCAGCCGCACCTCAAGCAGCACAGGGAGCTGGGCTGGCTCTGGGAGGGGTGAATGCCGCGCACATGTCTTCCCTCCGTCCACCCGTCGGTCCCCAGGTCCCTCCGACCGCCGGTCCCCTAGCTCTGCCCACCCTGGGGCCAGCTGTGGGCGCGGGCCGGGTCTAGGCCCACGCCCGGCCCCCGTTCCCGCCTGCCCTCCTCCTTCGCCACCCCACCCCACCCCCCCAGTGCTCGGCCTCGTTTCGTCACCGGATCCCCTGGAATGGGGGACGCGGGCGCGAAATACGAACCCAGCCACCGGCAGCTCCCTCCCCACGTGCGCTCGGCCCGCGGCGCGGAGAGCAGCCCGAAGAGGGGGCGCCTCACCTTTGCCCTCCATGGCGTGCACGAAGTCCCCCTGGTACAGCTGACTGCGCAGCTTCTCCTCCAGGCTGAAGCCGCGAACGCTGACGATCTCCTCCACGTCCGACAAGTCCTCGTTCTCGTCGTATCTCTGGCGGTCAATCGGGCGCTGCGGGGACCCAAACCAGAGAGCCCGAGGCATTATTGGGGAACTGGGGGTCGCCTCTTACCCTAGGCCCGGCTCAAGCAGGTGCAGGAGTTGCGCACCCCTTGCACCCCACCACTGCGACCCGAGCAACTTTGCGCAAATGCCAAAGATGCTGAAAATCAAGATAACGAGGGGGGCCCGCGCCCCCGGGGGCCGGCTGTCCCCTAGGCAGGGCACTCCCCTCCTGCATCTTTGGAGGCAACGTAAAGGACATGGGGGGGCTCTCCCTTGCCCCCATCCCCGATAGATGTTGAGTTTTGCCCACTCGGCCGGGAGCCCGGTTATGTAACCCGCTAAGGGGGCTCGGCGCACGGGCTGGCGGGGTATTTGTAGGCCCCGGGAGGAGCCGCCGCAGCGCCCCGCTCGGCGCTAATAGCAGCCCGGGCGGCCGCGGCGGCAGAGCCGGGAAGCCGGAACCGGGGGCCGGCGGCATTTCTAAGACTGGAGCCGCCCCCGAGCTACTCGGGAAGCTGGAAAGCTGAAATGGAAGGGCTGAGACCCCAGCCGCCCCCGCCGACCGACCGCCAATGCTAAAAGAAGAGGTGGAGGGGGAGGTCGGGGCTTGGGAGGGGGAGAGGCAGACGGCCCGCCACAAAGCTCCCATCGGAGACCCCAAAACGCACCAGCAGCTGCCTCATCTCCCCACAAGCGCGCGCGCACACTCACTTCCTAAGGAGACTCCCCCACCACTCCCCGCATCCCCTGCCTCCTCCCTCGACCGCCCAGCGCCGGGCCCTGCAGCCCCCCAGATTCCGGGCGAACCCCGAGCCCGCTCAGCCTCTCTCCACGCCTTTCCCCGCTACCACCTCCCCACTTAAGTGTCTGAGACTCTGAGCCTCACAAGGGACTGGAGGAGTAAGCTGCTTGCTTCCTTTTGCATGCAATTTATTATATTTTTTCCGGTCCTCTTGCAAAATACAGAAAAAGGAGAGAAAAGGCAGCAAGAAACAACAACAACAAAAAAATAGATCTATCATTACCAGATACAGATTTGGGGAAAAAAAAAAAAAAGCTACACACCAATCTTCTTCCAGAGTCTTTCTCTGCCTCCATTTTTTTAGGAGAGTTCACCAATTAATTGTCAACACTCCTGCCCCCTGCATTTTGGCGGAGGGGGGAAGGAGGGAAGACCAAAGAAAACAAACCAAAAAATAAATAAATAAAGCAAGCCAGAGCCGAGATCTACAAAGTTTTGCACCAACACTTAAGCAGATCCGTTTGCAAAGTCCTAGGAAACCATTTTCAGCAGTTGTGGGGGGGGAGGCGTCGACGTCATAATCCCCGGAACGTAAACATTGTTGCCGATCGCGCTCTGAGCCTGCGGCCGGGCTAGTGGAGGGGGCACTCGGCCCGGGATGGGGGGGGCGGGGGCGGCTGCCGGAGGAGATGTGGGGCGGGGAGGGCGCCCGGGAGGCACCGGGCGCCGTTAGCGCCCTGGCATCGCTGTTTTGTTGTTGGGTCACGAGTGCGCCTTGCACGCAGGCGCCGCCGCCGCCCGGGAGTTGTGTGCAGAGCTGACTTTTGGAGGGCTGAGTTGCAGGCGGCGGGCGCATCCCGGAGATGGCGGGGCAGGGAGGGAGGGAAGGAGGAGGGGGTGGGGAGGGAGGTGCAGATTTGCACGGCTGGCCTCAGCAGGAGGCGCGGAAATGCAAGCCGAGCTTGCTGGCTAGAAAGCCCCAAGGCCTGGCACCCCCAAAAACGACCCCCCACCTCAATCCCTGCCCCCATTGCCCACGGCCCCCGCGGGCCACCCCTCTTCCTCTTCCTTCATCCACCCCACCCCATTACCTACGTGGCCGACCCAAATTCAAAGCGCTTTGTATATATAATTGATTTTTTTTTTCTTTTCTGCTGCATGTCTTGGGGTTTTTTTTAGGGGGGGGGCGACCCTCTCCAGACCCCCATATGCGGACCTGCCATATGGAGGAGACATTTGGGGGCTCAGGAAGAAATTAGCGCAGTTCCATACCTGTACGGACTGCATAACTTTTAAACTCCCGGACTCAAAGATATGGATACACACACACACACACACACACACACACACACACACACACACACACACACGCAGGTACAGGAAATACGGCCAGACTAGAGCCTTTTCGGACCCAAGCTGACCGGAAGATGTTGCCTTTCATTCATTCATCCTGCCCGCGTCTGTGGAGTCCTTTACTAGGCGACAAGCCCTGGAACAGAAGTTGGACAGTTTTTAAAGGTCCCTGCGCTCGCCAAGAGAAGGAAATAGATGCTCAGGAGTGAAATACCGAGAGAATCGGATCTGGCGCCTCCTAACGCAGCTGGCAAGCAGGCGAAGGGTAAGCCCTTATTGGCCGTTCATTGGAGAAAAGTTGGTGGAAAGGTGCAAGGCGCTCTGGGATGGGGTACGGGAAACTTTGGGGCGCCCCTTAATGAATCCTGTAGAAATTCTTGGCAGGAGGTATTGGCTCTCTCTTGCTTTCCCTCAATATACCTGGTTGGCTGTGTCCACCCCCAAAACTGGAATCCTAAAGGTGCCATCCTGTAATTCTATTATGAACAACAGTGAAATCAACTTTGATTATGAGAAAAGCAGGCCCTAAACATTCCTCCAGACCAACTAGGCCTGATCTTTGGGGTAACGATCAGGAGGACATGAGGACAGGGCACCAAGGCTACAATAAAGGAACAGTATAGATGCTTATAGCAGGCTTTGCCAAAACAAACAAACAAACAAACAAACAAAAAACCCACAAGCAAAAAATAAAAATAAAAATAACCCCACACACATTTTTAGTTCTATCATTAACCCTGTGGGTTGGTTGGAACGGGTCATTTCACAGATAGAGAAACTGAGGCTCAGAGAAATGATCAATCAAGGTGATTCCTCTGCCCCAATATCATCCCTAGTCAACACTCCACTCAGACAGATGTGTGGAGAGGAAGTGGCTTCCCCATTAGACATCGGATGTGAACCATCAGCTCTGTGTTGGTCACCCTGAGACAGCTTCCCCTATACTCACCTTAAAATTTCCTGTCCTGTCTTTGTATATTCTTTTCCACCCACCCCTAAAAACTGTTCTTTGAATTTTGTCTTAATTCCAGTCCACTAGATGGCAAATGTCAAAATTTGTTTCCAAACTGAAATAGCCCAGGTTAGCTTAGTAGGATTGAGAAGGGTTTTGCCCTTAGCCTCTGTCAAGAATCAGGGACCATCTTATTTGCTTCTTTCTCACAGAAGACCCCTTGAAGGGTAATAGTCTTGTTATTCCTCATGTTACAAATGAGGAAACTGGGTCTCAGGCAAAGCCACTCACCCAGGGTCACAAGCTTGTAAGTGTAGTTGCCAGCCCAAACTGGAGCCTGGTTCTGCCATCACAGGCCTTTTTGGATATTGACCACCTTCCTTTGCTCCCACATAATGAAATGAACATGTGCAAAGGAGGGCTTCCAGGCTGGAGGGTCATGAATAGGAAGCTAAGTACAATCAGACAAAACCAAAATAGAATGCTTGATCCTAATTCACCTTTCCTCCCAGAGATCCGTCTCTCCCTCCCGATGTGGCCTCAGATCCAATGGCCAGCACCTCAGTGCAAAAACAGTTAAGTCCATATATCACCCTAATGGGGACTTTCTGGCTTGTCAGAGTGGGAAGGAGTGGAGTAGTCACCTAATTTAACCCCTTCTCTTTACAAACCATGAGGAAACTACAGACCAGAGAGAAGAATGGGCCAGGGGGGGGGTGTGTTCCCCTTGGACTCCCCCAGAATGCCTACCCTACCGCCTGGTCCTAAGTGGTCACTCAATAAATGTTGGGCCTTTGATGGATCACCTTCCCCAGCGATATTTGCATTTTCCCTTTATCAGTAATTGGCAGATGAAAGGCTTTGTCCTCCCGTTGAAAGAATTCCAGGCATTTGCTCAAAGTGGGGGAGGAGGTTATTTTGGGCCAAAGAGGGGAGGGCCAAGACCCTTGAGCTCCTAGAGTTAGCTAATTGTCCCAGAGGAGTGGGCAGTAGGTGAGAGGAGAGGGCAAATTAAGGTGCTCCTCCAAGAGATGTACTTTTTCTTGTAGAAAAAAAAAAAAAAGACCAGGCCAGTTGTTTTTGAAACTTAGTAATAATGACTTCCCAGACTCTCCTTCTCATTCTTACAAAAGACCCAGTCAAATCCTGGCTGTGTTGGCCCCATTCATTCATTTCTTCATTCATCAAAGAGTGATTGAGCAGCTCTGTGCTTTAAGACAGAGGGAATATATAAGAACCAGCTCTGATTGTAGACATACTCCAGCCTGGACAGGGAGTGGACAGATGGCTCCCAAGAGAGTTAGGAATCCACAAGATTTTAAAAACTGTTGGAAACTGAAGCCATTCTCATACATGATTATAAGAGCTCCTGATTTTTGAGTGCTATGTGTTTAAGCAAAGCCACTTAACATTTATTTCCTTGGATCTTCCCCTAAGCCCTAATGAGGGTGGGTCTGTAATTCCCTACGTCTATGGCTGAGACTCAAAAGAGCTCAAGTTACTTGCCCAAATTATACAGCTATAAAATTACAGAGACAGGATTTGCACCCAGGGCTTGTAGGAATCCAGAGCTCACAGGCTTTACCCCTCACTATGCCTCCCTGCAGAGCTGTCCCCCAGGACATGATCATAGAATATTCTTACGTCTGCACTGTATGACACAGCAGCCTCTAGCCACATGTGGCTATCGAGCACTTGAAATATGGGTAGTGAGATTAAGGAAGTGAATGTTAAATTTTATTTAATTTTAATTAAATTTAAATAGCTGTATTTAGTAGCTAGTGTCTATGTTATTGGATGGTGCGACCTTACCTTGTTTTTCAGAACTTGTCTTAACTCACCTACCAGACTATATATAACTCAGAGTCTGATTGGCACTGTGTCTCTACAATCAACCTTCTGGAAATATCTGTGAAATGAATGAAGGAACCTGAGAAAATGAAGTATTGGAATGATGAACCAGGGGAAGGGGACCAGGGATGGCTGCAAAGGTTTCCTAGAAGGGGCCATCTGATACAATGTGAACATTTGGAATTAGCCCTTAGACCACTCACTCTGAGTGTCTGCCAATAGCATGGCACTGTAGGCACCTTGGAACGCCAGTTGGGACGTCCAGTCCAAAATAAGATTGTCCCACCTGCCCAGACCTGACAAATACACTTCTCAAGGACAGATAATTGGTGAAGGGGCAGGAAGCCTTAGAAATGGGTAACCACTTCCTGATATATATCCTGCTGATAGATACAAAAACAAACATGCAATCCATGGTAGCCCTGTTTGCAACAGAAAAAGACTGAAACTATCTAAAAGTTGGAGAACTGATTAAAAATAATTTTTGGACCATTTGCTCATTGAAATGTTATTAAATCATCAAGAAGAATATAGTAATTGTATAAATAATGAAGCAGGATGATTTCATGATATCCTTAAATTAACACAAAACAGAACAAGGTGTAGAATATTTATACTAAATTGTGCTGACCAGGGAAGCCTGGGTGGCTCAGTGGTTTAAGCACTCAGGGCGTGATCCTGGAGTCACTGGATCGAGTCCCACGTCGGGCTCCCTGCATGGAGCCCGCTTCTCCCTCTGCCTGTGTCTCTGCCTCCCTCTCTCTCTCTGTGTGTGTCTATCATGAATAAATAAATAAAATCTTTTAAAAAAATAAATAAATTGTGCTGACCAGTTACATCAACCAAAGGGGACACATTTATATCTACATTTATTCTTTTATACGTACAGGATTTTCTTTGGAAAGAAATAGAATCCAAAAGGGGGGAAATGAACTGAGAAAAGGGGATGCCTGGGTGGGTCAGTGGTTGAGCATCTGCCTTTAGCTCAGGGCATGATCCTGGGGTCCTGGGATTGAGTCCCCCATTGGGTTTCCCCCTGCCTCTCTGTGTGTGTGTCTCATGAATAAATAAATAAAATCTTAAAAAAAAAAGAAGAAGAATGGGGGGGGGCAAATGTATTCTTTGGTACAGTGTAACATTTTTACCACACTATGCATTAGAATTGCCTGACTTGGGACCTTATAGATTTAATTTCACTTTCTAAAGTGTAGTACCTTTCAAATTTTGTACTCTGTACCTGTTATCACCCTACTCAAACAAGAATTTCATTTTATTCATCCTTTTTAAGGCTATAAAGTTCAAAATCAGGCAAATCCAAACCAACTAAATATTGTTTAGGTATTGATACATAAGCTGTAAGGCATTTAAAAAAAGCAAAGAATTGATTAACACAAAGGGCAGGAAGAGACTCCAGTCTAGGGTAAGAAATGCGAACAGAGGGGCA